AAGACTTTGCAAAAAAGGCAAAGCCACTTACAAATCTAACCAGAGGCACAAATGCACAAATAAAAGCAAGCAAATCAAAAAAGGTAGACATCTCACTGACGGGTGAAAGTCTTAAATTCCTTTAATGACCTCAAGCAACTTCTTATGTCTTCAGAAGTCCTGGCATTCCCAGACTATAGTAAATCATTTATATTAACCACAGATGCTTCAAATGCCGCTATCGGAGCAGTTCTTTCCCAAGGCGAAATGGGAAAAGACCGACCGATCACTTATATTTCCAGATCTTTAAATAAGACAGAAGAAAATTATTCGACAGCTGAGAAGGAAATGCTAGCGATTGTTTGGGCTCTCGACAAATTAAGAACCTATCTGTATGGAGCAAAGGACATTAAAATCCTCACGGACCACCAACCCTTAACGTTTGCGTTGAGCAACAGCAAAATAATGCAAAACTTAAACGGTGGAAGGCCCGTATAGAGGAATATAATTACAAACTTTTTTATAAACCAGGGAAGGCCAATGTTGTCGCAGACGCGCTCTCCCGGCTCCCCATGGAACGTAACTCGTTGACGTAATCAACATCTAATTCACAACACAGCGCAGAAGAGGACAACACTGATTTGATTCCTCATTGCGAGGCTCCAATAAACGTATTTAAATCCCAAATAATCATTTCTGAAGGTCAGCAGTTAGAACGGCATGAAGAACCGCTTCCAAATTATCATAGACACTACATAGCAAAAACAAAGCTTAACAAAGGAATTACAAAAACATTTTGAGAAATAACCTTAACCCGAATATAGTAAATGGAGTCAAAATCCAGGAAAATTATATCGCTTTATTGCAGGATGTCTTTAAGGAATATTTCTCAAAATTTACAATCAGAATCACCCAAAGGTTAGTAAGCGACGTTTCTAGCGATGAAGATAAGTACAGGATTATTAAAGAGGAGCACAAATGGGCTCATCGGAACGGGAGAGAAAACAAGGAGCAAATATTAGAGCAGTATTATTTTCCCCAGATGACCAAGCTTATAAAAAATTCCACAAAGACTTGCGAAATCTGCGGCTCTAATAAATACGACCGCCATCCACAAAGGCCTGCGTTACAAGCAACGCCCATCCCTTCATACCCCACGGAAATACTGCAGATTGATATAATGGAAATGGCAGGTGAAAAGTTTATAACATGTGTGGATAAATTCTCGAAATTTGCCAAATTTTTCCGAATAAAAAACAAGTCGGTACTGCATATTAGAGATAAATTAATAAAACTTCTCCACTATTTTTCTGTTCCAAAACTGCTAGTAATGGACAACGAAGGCAGTTTTGTCAGTCCGATAACACTTAATTACTTAGAAAGTTTAGGGATCGAAATTTATTTAGCTGCACGTCAAAAGAGTGAAGTGAATGATCCTATTGAACGTGTTCACTCCACAATTATTGAAATTGTTAGGTGTCTTCAATCGGAGTATCCCGACTGCTCACTGAAGGAGATTATTAACATTGCCGACGATAGATACAACAATACGATACATTCGGTTACAAAGAAGAAGCCCGCCGACATTTTTTTTTTTGAAGAACGCAAAGGATAAATTATCAGGATCTAACAAATTTTAGAGACATAGTAAATGTCGACCTTCGGAACGAAATAGCTAGGAAACAGAAGAATATGTTGAAAAATCATAACAGGAAAAGATCAAAGCCAAAAAGCTACGAACCAGGGGAAATTGTCCTAAAGAAAGACAAGCAAATCAAAAATAAAACAAAAGCCATTTTTAAGGAGACTGTAGCAAAGAATAATAAGGTTACCATAACCGCAGCTAATAATAGGAGGATCCACAAATCTCACTTAAAGAATTGATGCTCGTACGTACATATACTTTCAGACTATTTATTTATTTATTTATTTCAAAAGGCAATAAACTACAAAGGTTCTTACTGACTAAAACGATAGCTTAGACTTAAATAACGAAATAGAGTTAAGTGAATTATTAAACGCTGTTTTCTACAAAAAAAAATTCAATCCTAATGGAATTCGAGATCTCGTTGAGTTATAAATATAAAGCACAAAGAGAGGGTAGTCCTTCTGATTTCTAAAGACTTCAGATTTATAAGGAGGAGACGGGAATGATATGAAGGGATCGGATCGCAAAAATTTGGAGATCGAAGGGCGAACTTTAGGAAAACTTTTTGAATACGCTCAATTCTGTCAATTGAGAACTTGTGATAGGGTCGCCAGATAAATGCAGTGTACTCAAGCTTGGGACGAACGAACGTTGAGTATAGCAGTTTTAGGGTATAAGGATCTGAAAAATTAGAGCTATTACGCCGAATAAAACCTAAGGTAGCATAGGACTTTAAAATTATGTAATTAATATGGTTGTTAAATGAAAAAGAAGAATCAAAGATAACTCCGAGGTCTTTAACCTCATCTAAAGAATGAAGAAGTGTACCGGAGATACTATAGTTCGTATGCAAAACGTCGCGAATTTTTGAAAATGTTACCTGAAAGCATTTATTAATATTGAGGTACAGGTGCGATCTAAGGCACCAATGATATAAATTATTGATATCTTCTTGGAGGCGCATCTTTGCATCTTCAGAATTTTTTATAATAGAAAAAACTTTCAGGTCGTCTGCAAAGAGCAAGAACTCTGAAGAAGAGAAGCAACTGCCAATGTCATTTACAAATAACACGAAAAGCAGTGGTCCCAAGATACTACCTCAATCGAGACCATACAACACCTATTACTTAAATATGAGGATAACCATTTAAGGAATACGGAGTGAAAACCGAGCGAAGCTAATTTATGTAACAACATAGTGTGCGAAACCTTGTCGAAGGCTTTAGAAAAATCCGTGTATACGCAATCCACTTGACGGCAAGCTGAAAACGCTTCAATGCAGTATTCACTAAATATGGCTAAGTTAGTGATTGTAGACCGTCCAGAAACAAAGCCATGCTGGCTCAGTAGGATCAAACTTTTAACGGCAAAATACGTTTTATCTTTAACAATCCCTTCAAACAGTTCAGAGATGGTCGAGAGCTTGGAAATTGGCCTGTAATTAGTTACATCATGCTTTTTGCCACCTTTAAAAATCGGTGTGATTGATGTCAGTTTCCAGTCATCCAAAAAGATGCCAGTACTCAGAGATTTGTTGAAAATAAACTTAAGAGGTGCAGCTAAAGCTGGACACTTTTTCAAGAAAATGGTACTAAATCCATCGACATCAGTCTGCGTTGAGTTTTTCATGGTGTTTATCCCCTTTGTAATGTCGTCTAAGGTAAGACGTAGGTGACCAAAATTTAAAGCTGTTTGATTGTTGGGATAACTAGAAGGGAATGAACTATCAACATCTTCACAAGCGAAATTCGACTTAAAAAACTCAGCAAATAAGTTGGCCACTTATTGAGGCGAGGTTGCAATTTTTCCCCGAAGGAGACTGCAGACGGGACACCAACACAGGAATTGGTGGATTTAATAATATGCCAAAAAACATTAGGGCTTGTTTTAATGCTCGATTCTACCCTGAGGATATAATTTCTATAGAGAAATTTGTTGAGGCAATTCAATTTCTTGGATAATAGTTGGTATTTTTCGAAAAAGATTTGATTTTTGGATTTAACGAACTTTTTGTGAAACTTGTTGTTGGTTCTTAAGCTTTTTTAGATCACAGGTATACCAGGGAAGTTTGTATGGCTTCTTTTTTGCTAATGGTTGTTCCTTAAGCAAATTTCCAACACATGAGACCTAAATACGGAATAACACTCATTGATATCCAAATCAGAAAACAAATGATCGCAACTTATTTCCAATAGGCAAGTGTTAAGCTTAGAGAAATCACAAGTATCAAATTTGAAAGAGATTCTATCAGCTAAGTTACTGGCGGAAAATTCGTAGAATTCAACAGAAAGAAACAAAGGGATATGGTGCTTATCCGCAGGTGAGATTGCTGAATGACATTGGGAAATCGAGGTGTTGATATTTGAACTAACGAAAACCAGATCAAGAATTCTGTTAAGCTGATTAGTAAAATTATTAATTTGAACCAAATCAAGACTTAAAATATTATCTATACAATATGTTTCATGAGATGCAGTAACATTAGTTGGTATTAGGCCGAAATTGGAGTACTTTCCAGACCAAATGATGCTAGGAAGGTTGAAGTCACAAAGAACGCACAAGTGATTGGCACCTAATTTATTTTGAACCAAGTGTAAGATGTTGTCAGTATGGGCTTTGTAGATGTCGAAGGTACTGCTCGGCGGAATATATGAGGCAATAAGATACAGGGATCCATACGTTGAGGAGCCTGAGGAGGTAAAACACCAAGCTTAAAGTTAATTTTCCTTAGATTTATGACGTCAGTATCTTTTTTGATGAGTGGAAAGCAGGCAATTTGACTACCATCGATTTTGGCATTTTTGGCTACATAAGATATAATGTTTTCAGCAGTAAGAGTAGATTTGAAAGATGATAAGTGAATCAATTTTTTTGATGGGACTACGTCGAGTTCCATGTTATTTCTAGCGCCAATTACCAGATCCTCGGTGTTTTTTGCTGATTTTTAGGTTTTTTTCTTTGTACTCGAATCCACTTTGCAGGAGATTGCGTGTTTGTCACGGCTGAGGAGCTTAAAGAACTAAAAGTAGGTCGATAACGCTAATTACTAACGTTAGCAGCAGTAGAGGGAGCAGCAACAGCGGAAACAGTAGCGCCAGCAGAGGTGTTAGAAGCAGCCGCAAAAGAGAGAGTCATTACTTGGGGTAGTCGATGATGTTGACGTGCAAATATATGATTATTATTATTATTATTATTATTATTATTATTATTATTATTTATTCAAATAAATATTCAGTACAATATTACACAATTCCATTATTGTATCACGCGAAGCTTAGGGAGCTTATCTGCGGGTATAGTTTATAATAGTTCGTTGCTACATTTGTTAGTAATATCTTTTGTTAAATTATAATATTAGAATTAAATTCATCTTTTACAATGAGTTCAAATAATGATTGTTAATTAATGTTTTTCCTTGCGGTGTTTTTGGTAGATTTAAGTTGTTTGCTGGTAGTTCATTCAGTAGAGTCGGCATTGTGACACTAAGTGAGTGTTTTGAGTACTCATTCCTGAATTTAGGTACCTGGAAGCGTCCTTCTTCCCGTCTTCGTGTTTTATATTTATGATCTATGGGTTTTATGAACTGTGTGGCATCATAAAATTCGTTAAGCACTGTAGATTTAAAGATGGAGTTTATATCAAGTATTATTATTATTATTATTA